CACGTGATCCCTGATGATCCCCCAGGCATGACTGTCTTTCATGCAAAATCATTTTTCTCTATTCAAAGTAAACGAAAACCTCCCGAAGTTGTACTAATTATCTAACGCAGCGGTGATAGGTATGTTACCGACAAAAACAAATAATGTACTGGAGTCATAGTTGCGATGAAACACTGTTCGAAAGTTGGGGTTTATCGAAAAAGTCAATATCTCAAAAACTCTTCTGCTCTTGGCAGTAACATGCTGAGCACTATGTGGTTAAATGATTAGTACAACTTCGGGAGGTTTTCGTTAACCTTGAATAAAGAAAAATGATTTTGGGTTAAACAGCGTGAAATCTAGATATCCTGAGCTTCAGGATATGAAGTTTTATTCAGTGCTGCGATCCCCTACCCAGCGGGGAAGTTAATGCATACTGCTCTTAGAGAAGTTAGCACTGCCTATTGTCAGAGCGGGCTACCCTGTACTCATGATGAATGACGCAAGTTCCTTATCAACTGGTCAGTGATCTTAAGGAACCCTCAGTTTCATTCCAGATCGGAAGATATATAGTGTAAAAGGAGGTGATTTGTCGACAGTTGTCATAAGTTCGATACATTCACGGTTAGGCCGATTTTTCAAATACTGCCATTTCGGACCAGAGCATACTTTGGAATATCAGTTTGCGTGATATTTTCTGGCCACTGACAGTCCTGTGGTCTGGCGTTAATTTTCTGAAAGTATTCCAGGAGATGTTTACGGAAGTTTATTCAGTTTGCCCAAAACCTCCATCGCACTAGAAAATCTAAAACTCCAGAAAGCGTCGACCCATTGGTGGGTCGTATTGTCCGCAATGCCAGAACACGTACGACCCACTGGTGGGTCGTATTGTCGTGAATGTGTTGAGAGCGATTGAAAGGCTGGCCTGTGCATGGAGTTGCTGTAAATTAACACCTCTCTTACAAAATTACTTTTCAGCTACACTTGGTGTCGAAGTTCACCCTCTAATTTTCCATACTAACCGAGGGCAAATCCGTTTCAACGTGTGGGATACAGCTGGACAAGAGAAGTTCGGTGGATTGCGTGATGGGTACTACATTCAAGGTGAGCTGCCTAGATCATTCGTTTCCTTTGATATTGCCAGACTACGCAGTAATGATGGTCAAAAATAATTTTCTTTTTAGGGCAGTGTGCGATCATTATGTTTGATGTCACGGCCCGTGTCACCTACAAGAATGTACCTAATTGGCATCGAGATTTGGTTCGAGTCTGTGAAAATATACCTATAGTATTATGCGGAAACAAGGTAAGACTTCTCGTTTAGTTCAGTTCATGGCTAGACCTATCTAGATTTATCATAGCCATTGTTGCACTTGCCTCTTCTTATGCTAAAAACTTACCAACAAGTTCTCGTCGTCCCTTCGCCTTCATCTCTGGTCTTGGATGAACACGAAGGGACGTGTGGTGAACCAGGTGCGAACGGCGTGGGTTAAATGAGTCGAAGCCGCGCCGCACTGCGCTCGCATGCTCTTTCTAAGGCCTCGGGCATACTCACGCGATTTCGGTCGCCGCACGATCTGGCAATTTGCCAAATGTTTTCAAATTCGATGCTGGAAGACCCCAAATGCAGAGCATTACAACTTTCCTAGGTCTATAGAATGCCCTATCTTCCGTACCTTCAGAAACCCCTTACAGTGAATTATGAACGATTAGAATATTGCCAAATACCGTCGCGACTAAGATCGCGTGAGGTGTGCCTCTTATCTAAGCGGATATCCGCCTTCTTCGTCAAAGGATTACTCGAATACCCCTCTACAAAAGCGATCCAAAAGTTGAATAAAAATTTCGCATGATTTTGAACTTAGTAAATCTCAGTACTTGTATGTGGCTTGTTGAGCTGTAGACCGAGACTGGTAA